ACGCCGCAGGAGGATATCTTCGGGTCGCGTGCGCAAAGGTGCATCTCGCGTCGATCGTCGCGAATCCATCGTGACTAAACAAATAGCAATAATGTTCGCGCGATTCAGTCAAGATCGTCGGGAGATCGTCACGTCGGTTTTTCATTCCTCGAGCGTCGCGGATGCGTTCGTTACCTTTCATCAATGTCACCTGATGCGAGCCATAGTTCCCCTCAGACACGGGAGCGAAGACTTGGGACGACGACTCGACGACCTCGACCTTCGATCGTGGAAGCGCGTGACGAATCGACGTGTTGGCTTTCGAAGAGAATCAGCGATCGCTTCCGATCGGACGAGGATCAGTGCGGAATCGCCGCGCGCGATGCACCGTCGCGGATGCACGTGGTTTTCGCGAGGGCGAATCTCGGGGTCATAACAAAACGACGACCTCGCCGGCCGGTCGCACGGCCATCTTGCTACTCCTATCATTCTTCCCTCTTCCCTCGCCCTTTCCCTCTTTCCCTCCGCCGCGTCTCTCTTTTGCGCTTTCACCCTTTCGCCTCCCACACCTCTGGACGTGGTACCGACGGATACCGACGCATCTGCGTCAGTTAATCGATATCTCGCCCTCTTCGCAACAATATCGGTAACAAAGCTACCCCGCTTATCCATTTTCACGCGAGACTTTAATTCAAGGGGTGAGAAAAATCAAGTTTGTTAAAAGGGCACGAAGGACTCATTTTTCGTTTCGCTCTCGCTAAAAATTAAAAAATTACACGTGACTTCAGAAATCTACATTAATCTAAATATTGTTACGCATTTGTTGTGCTAATACGGTTTTAAAAAAATGAATATATTCATCTTCAATGGAGTCGCGAAAATCTGGCAACCCGCCGTTGCCTCCGGCTGGTAAATCGAATTCGTAGGGGGTGTACCATTCACGGAGGGGTGTTTCGGTGTCCGTCGGTAAAATCAGATATACGAGGATAAGAAATACGTGGGGGTCGTAGAAATGGGATCGACTCGTCGTCGGTAAAAGAACCCCGTGCCAATGTACGGTATAGAACGGTATAGAACGAAAACAATTCTGAAGAGAGAAAGGGCGGATAAGACAGAATCATTCCAGAATCCGTCCGCGGGATTTGTCACGTATCATTGCCAACTTCACCTAGATGGGATGGAGATTAGCTCGCAAGGAAGCTGTGCAAGGACATTTTGATAGCCTAATTTAATATACGAATTTAAAAAAAAAAAAACAAAATGTCAAGTGTTAGATGTGAACGAAATAAATCGCGCGATTGTCCCTTTGGCATTTACATTGTTTCGTGGATGTTGTATATGAATGCACTTTCAACGTAAAGAAAAATATCAATATGTTCACTCACCTTGTCTTCAGCTTCATCCGCCCTGCCCTCCGCCTCTAATACCCGCTGCTCGAGCTCCGAGAGCTGAAACAAAAGCAGGATCGTTTTAGCGATACGTCACTTCGCGAAAGATTGATGGCGTTTTGCGAGATAGACAATCGCTTTAGCTTTTAACCGTGATTCTATTCGACTCCATCAACGTTAAACGCCGTGTTGTAATTTCGCATGTACATCTCTTCCATCTTAACGCAATCGTTATTGCTTACTCTGTCGTTTTGGTAACAACGGTTTCTTTTATATTCGACAAACTCATTTATGCATACTTAAAATATAATATTGGACTTCGCTCGTTCTTATTTCTTCGTTCATAATCGTTATCGAGAATCGACAAGAACTTCCAATATCGAAGTTCTTGAGGTCGAAGAAAGTTCGATGGAGGTGCAAGTGGTTCGATGTCTAATTTCGCGAGGGAAAGTTTCGTCAAATTTGGTTAAGTCTGCGGACGAGACGTACCACTGTAGACTCGATGACAATTTAATGGATATGATGAAGTTAAATCTGAGTCGAGGACCGATATAGCCGAGATTGATACGGACATAACCTGCGACGATTCTGCAATTTTATCCAAATTCTGCAAGGTATATTCCAAGCTTTTTCGCGATTTTGATTTTAATGGATTCTCCGATAAATTTCGAATCAATTTTCTTTTCGATCACATTTACAAATTTCAGTTAAATTTAACTTTTGTCTTACTAATTACAAAATACAAAATTGTCGATACTAATAATAAAAAGGATCGTGAAGATTTTTAAACAGCTTTTTCTTATCAAAATCGTTGATGATTATTAAAGATGTGCGAACTATTCGAATCTGTATGATTCGAACCCGAACTATTCGAAAATTTTGAATCTAAAAATCTATTTCGAAGCACATATCAATATTATTTTTCTTACATAGAAATCTCTTTCTTCATTATTTAAATAAAACTCAACCTAATAATAATTATGTCGTTAAGTAAAAGTTACATTTCAACGATTCGATTCGATGTAAAAAAATCTTTCGCACATCTCTAATAATTATTGATAAATCATAAAAAAAACATCTTAGACATTTGTTTTAATTTCCCCGTTGATTTTCGAATATTACTCCCTTTTGCATTTCAGATCCTATTTTACCGTTTCAGAGATACTGCTTTTACACGGCACTTTGCTCAAGCTGATATCTCGGAGCAACGAGCGATCAGTTTCGCACAATACCAAGAGCAGTCGGCGAATAAAGAATTCGTGGTTCCTCCTCGCTCGGGCGGATAAAGCGGCGTGGCGCGATCTCGTCTTTTTCGAGGAAGATGGATCGGCGAGAGAAGAGACGAAGGGAGGGAAAGGGGCGGGAGGGGGGGGGGGGAAGACGCGAGATGCAGCGAGCGAGGATGCCAGGGAGCGGAGGGAACCAGGATCTCATCAGGGTGGGCGCAGTTAGCAGCATCTGGCGTCGGACGGAAAAGAAAAAGGCAAAGGGCCGCGGAGAGACGGAAGGCTGGAGGAGAGGCTGAAGAGAAGCGTAGAAACGTTCCTGCTAATGCGGAGGGGAAGAAAACGCGCGCACTTTCTCGGCGCGTTACACACTCTAGCGACACGCTAGCTGCCGGAGAGGCGAAATCCGCGATGTAGGACGGGTGGATGACGAGGAGAACGACTGGTACATTAGCCACAGGGGCAGATGCGCCACCGGGACCTCTCAAACTGTCGTCAGTGCGTAAATTTCGCTTTTTGCGACGCCGAGATGACGCCGAGAGGTATCTGGCTGATCTAATCTGGCGAAATTTCAGGTGGCACATGCGTTCCGTCTTTATCCTAGATATATGAATTCTTGTCTATATCAAACTCGTCATTCTTGACGATTCTTTGATAAACTACGATAAAATCCTCGTATATATGTTCACAACTAATGACAGTACCGGACTCCCTATCTATTGTCAGAAAAAAATGTCCACGTGGAGAGTGGAAGTAAGAACATTAATCGCAGGAAAAGATGTTGTTGACGTGTTCGTTGAATTTTCGAAGAAAGCGTTCTCTTTGGGGTGGAAAAGGAAGGCGACGAGCAGCTTTTTTTTCCGTGGTCGGACCGGGGTGTCTCATAATTTGTCCAGGCCCACGCATAAAGCACGAAGGGTGAAACTCGTGGAGACGATAACACACACCCTCTCGCGTTTCGATCGTCGGAAGATCACGTGCGCGCCGGGACGTCGTCGTCGTCGCAAGGATTGGCTCGTTAATGTTATCGGTGGCTCGCGTGACGCGAAACATAGGAACCGGTACTTTCTTGAATTTCGTTCGCTTTGTGCGCGGGAAATTTATGGCCGGTTCCCGATGTTGTCGCGTGCGGCCGGAGAGAATCACGGAAAGTACGAAGGAGAAAAGAGCGCCGGGGCGGAAAAAAGAAACGGCAATCCGGTTTGTTTCTTTTTTCCAGGGGCACGAGAAAAAAAAACATAGAAGCGAAAATTACTTCCGGTTACGTGATTCACGTACTCCGCTCTCACTCTTTCCCTCTCTATCCCTCGGCACGCTTCTCGTGATTGTTATTAAATACGATGGCCCTGCAGGCAGTAGATAAATTAAAAACGATACGAGCCGTAACGCTGCGACCTATCTCGCGAAAATACGAACGCCTAATCCTCCAATCCGGAAATTGGTTTTTGCGATCGTCGAATAGCCTTCTGTTACTTTTTATTTCTGTCCATTCACGTTGATCTATTCTCAAGGAATTGACGAGAGACCACCATAACTACCGTAAATTTTTCACTATCACGGTATAAATGAATTCTTTTATATTATATTCCGTGCTTCAATGCAAAAAACATAAAAAAATAAATTATTTTTCTTAATCGCGTTACTTATACACATTTCTTCTTATTAAATTATTAATTAATTAGAAATTACTACTCAAAAATTACATTAGTTGTAATTAGTTTTTCCTACAAAGTAAGTCGAGTAAAATAATTTTTAAGAAATAATAGAACGTTAAAAGTTTGGGATAAAATTAAATGCATGGAAATCTTGTCGACGACAAAAAATGAAATCAATTATTATTTTTTTCGATTTAACTTTCCTATTCATTACGGAAAAATCGTGCTGTATCGAACACTCCCCTCCTCGTGCTTGCTCTCGGTACGGGGGAAGAGTAATGGTCGGTAGAATTAGCCCGACGAAAACGAGGACGTATAACGGTTAGCACCTCGTGCGTTAGCGTTTCTTCTTGTGCGATACCGCAGGGCGAGTGCACGACCCTTATTTATAACGAAATCCCGGGGTCGAGAAGCCGGATCGCTCTCCCGTGCCTTGTATATTAAACTATGCCAACCCCTAGGAAAAGGAGTATGGAACGAACGTATGGATGGTTTCACCACGAGGGTTATGAGCGAAAGAAGGAAATTACGTCGATACGATAAAACCGAGATTCACCGCTGATCTCGTGATATATCGACCCTTGTTTAGTTCCTCCCTTAATATTATCAATAGGCCGAATGAACCATTATATCATCGCGCTTATCATAATCGCCCAAATGCTTCTGAAATTCGTATTTTTGCAATTATCACCAAATAGTACAATATAATTTTATATTTCAATAATGAACAAAATATTAATAATATTAAATAGATATTCAACATCATGTCTGTAACAATAAAATAAAAAATAACGTATATTTTGGTAAATAATGGTTAATAAATTTTGTTAATTTTCAAAATATTTATTCTTGTACATCCGTTATACTTACATTTTAAATCTCTCAGTAATGCATATGTATGAGGATAAATAGACACAAATCAAACATTTCGTCACACATAAGCGCAAGACACCAAGCCTTATTTAATAATCGGATATAATAAAAATATAATTACACTTTTACTTTACAAGGACGCTCTATCGGGGGGGGGGGGGGACAGATTTTTTCCAGAGCCAGCTATTTTGTGGGCGTAACGACCTGATATTCAACGTGTATGTACACGTGTTCGTGTCGTGGAGATACTTCGAATGTTCAAGAGAACGAGAATCGGGCTATCATCCGGCCGAGCTAATTCTCGTATTCTCTTTATTATCGCGATCGTAACACGGCCGCCCGTCATCGTCACGTAACGTCGTCACGAGCGTTAATACGATCGCCGTTATCGTTATTGCACCCGCCGATGCATCCCGCCACGAGAATAAAACGCGCGCGCGCGCGCGCGCGCGCCTACGTGTCCAATTCCCAGTGCAATCCGCGTAACTGCGACATTTATTCGCGGGACGACCGATGGAAGTGCCGGCCGGCCGCTATGTACACAGGGTGACATCGTCGCCATCGTGGTGGTCTGAATCATCGTTAGGAAGGGGCGCACGATTTCTTTTTTTCGGTCGACTTACACTCACCTTACGCGACGATGATAACAACGGCTCAACGCGGATTTGCGAGGCGCAAATGCCAATTTTCAAGACGCAGCCTTGCGCGTCATAATGACAATTAGCGACAGAACGCTCTAGGATTGATAAAATACTTCGTTATACGTAAACGCGAGCTTTAGTTACACGTAATTATAACATTTTTATTTTACAAGGATTTCGCTCTAGAATAGATTTTCCTAAAGTCCTAAATTTATTCCGTTTTCATGTTTTAAGTAACGCATTACCTTTTTATACGCTTTTAAAATCGTTTCATTACGGTATAGAGTTAATCCCATTTGACGTTTCAGCTAAGTGTTTATAAGATGGGAGATACGTGCAATCGTAAAAAGCTTAGAAAACCACTGACTTAGCGGAGATACAAGTGGCATGGGGTTTTGATGTGTGCAGAAGGGGACATCCAAGTTGTACTACCTTACAACTGCTTCCTTTTGTCTTTCTCTTGACTCGAGAAGAGAGAAAAGAAAAGGGAGTTGGGGAAATAAACGAGAGGCGATCTTAAACGAAGCGATAGGACGATCAGAGAGTGATAGGATGATCAGGGATGGATCTTTTATCATCGTAAATACGATATTTATTCACCTTTAAAATATACATAAAATTCATGGAAAATGGAAAAATTACAAAATAAAAAAATAATATAATTA